AATATTATATTTTGAATTTTGAGAGTTTGTTACTAGGATTTCCATTAACAATTTCTCTAAATAAGAGACAGTTTACAGATGGAGATTTTTATCTTTTTTTAATTTTATTTTTATTTTGATTTATTAACAATCACTTCCATATGCTTTTGATTTGAAAATTTTTCTCCCCCTTCCTCCCCCCCCCAAGATGGCACACAATCTGATATAGGCTTTATATTTACATACCCATTAAACATATTTTCACATTAGTGAAGTTGTAAGTAAAAATTCAAACCAATAGAAGGAACCATCAGAAAGATGAAACAAAACTCAACAGAAGGTAAAAATAAGTGATGACGATTACACTTCCATAGTTCTTTCTTTGGATGTAGACAGCATTTTCCATCCCAAGGCCTCTGGAAATGTCTTAGATCCTTATAATGCTGAGAAGGGTTCAGTTTAACAATATTAGTCATTGTATAACATGACTGTTATTGTGTACAAAGTCCTCTTGGTTCTGCTCACTTCACTCAGCATCAGACCATATAAGTCTTTCCAGGCTTTTCTGAAGTCAGCCTGTTCATCATTTCTTATAGCACAATAGTATTCCATTACATTCATATACCACAACTTGCTCAGCCATTCCCAAACTGGTGAGCAGCCTCTCAATTTCCAATTCTTTGCCACCACAAAAAGAGCTGCTATGAATATTTTTGTACATGTGGGTCCTTTTCCCATTTGTTTGATCTCTTTGGGATATAGCCCTAGAAGTGCTATTGCTGGATCAAAGGATATGCACATTTTTGTAGTCCTTTGGGCATAGTAGAAGGAGATTTTTATCCAATATTTCAATTTGTAGCTTGTCATTTTAGAATCAATAATATGGAGAAATGTTGAGAAAGAAATATCATTCATTCATTTTATTCATCACAAACTAAATACTTTCTTAAGTAATAAAATGCAACTTAAGTTGCTTAGGCTATACATTTATTTATAAATCAATTCAATCATCAAGAATCTATTAAGGACTTACTGTAGGCTGGGCAGTGTCCTAGGTGCTGGAGAAACAAATGCAAAAATAACAGTCCTAGGAGCTTACATTCTCATAGGGAGCTATAGCACACATAGAAATGGTGGTCAGGGGAAGGATGTTTTCATGTAAGCAGTCACAAAGATTTTCAGTAAAGCCATATACCAGTAATTTTGGCATTTCTTTTTCAGTAGCCAAGGTAGTATTTATTTGATTATTATTTTAAAAGTAAGAGGTGGGAAAGAGGTGGGTGTGATGTACATGGCATAGCACAGGCCAGATGGCAAGATTCCTCACCCTGGATATGCTCTAGTGTCCTGTTAAATTGCTGGATGGGATGTGAAGATTTTGAAAATCCATTAACCAAAGCTTCTCAGGAGCTAAACAGTGTTAAATAAATTTTGATCAGCTGAATGATTATGCCACTGAGAGCTGGGCATTGAAACATTATTAAAGTTGTCAACAGTGGACATTCTGTAGATACAAATTGGATTTTAGTTTTATATAATAGTGCTACATGGCTTAAATTCTCTGGAATAATTAAATATACCTAAAATCAAGGCATGGGATTTCCTTGACAAGCAATAAGTTGGTGTAAATAGATAGAACACTGGACTTGGGGTCAGGAAGAGGAGTTCAAATCCAGCCTCAGACACACCTAACTCTCTGGGCCCCAATTTCCTCATCTATAAAATGATGGAATTGGACCAAATGACTTCTAAGGTGTCTTTCAACTGCAAATCTATGATCCTATAAGGTTCATTTTGACTTTTTGTAAAGTCATCATGTCTGCCTGTGGGTGCTAGATCTTTCCTGGAATTCTGATTCACTTGGGAATCTGAGAACTGAGTTGTCCAAATTGAAATTTTCTGGACATATTAGTTTGCTCTATACTCTGAGAGAACTCTTTGAGATGATGTGGTAAAGTGAAAAGGACCCTAGAATTGAATTTTAATTCCATCTCTGCCACTAACTAGTGGTGTGATGTTAGATAATTCATTTAATAACTCAATTAAATTACAATTTAATTAACACAAATTAATTTAATTAAATAATCACTTTCCAAGAAATGTATAGTCCATGGAGGTAGATAACATATACATGGATAGTCATACATAATATATAGATACAAGATCACTTTGAGAAAAGATACAAGCAGCATAAGGGATGAGGAAGGATTCATGCTAAATAAGGTAGCCCTTGAGTGGAGACATAAAGGAAATTAGAGCTTCCTAAGAAGCACAAGTAAGGAGGTTTTCAGCCGTGAAGGACAGCCAATGCAGACATACAAAGAAAGTGAAATGAACACATATTAGGTATGAAGGCTGGACTCTAATGTGCAAGGGTAATATACAGTAAGGTTGGAATGGTAGGTTAAATTAAATTAAATGGCAAGCAGAGGAGTTAATGTGTGATCCTAGAAGTAAAAGGGAATCATGGGAATTGGTTCTGAAGGAGAATTACATGGTCAGACTGAAGCTTTGGGAAAATCATTCTGATAAAATGATCCCTAAGATCACTTCCATCTCAAGTCTATAATCTTAGTACCTAGGATAATTCCAGTCCTAAATTCCTATAACTTTCACTAGCAAGAATTAGAAATATTCAAAAATAAAGATCTGAGGACCAATAATTGACAATCCTTTGAGGTATTGGTGACCTCCTCACTTTTACATATGCTGCTTTTCTTTTTGTCTTATTCCAGATTTATAGATGCCAGATTTTTGCTTATGTTGTGTTCAGCATTAGTAACTTAGTCAAAATGAAAGGAATAAAGAGAAGCAACAGTCTGTGTGTGTAAACATTCTTTTTATTTATTTTTTTAAAAAATTAACAAAATGTCCAAATAACAAAAATATATTTCCTCTCTGTCCTATTTCTAACTGGGGAAAAAAGAAGAAAAAAAAAAACCTGTGTAGCAAATACTCAGAATCAAGCAAAACAAATTTGTGTATCAATATAAAAGTTTAAATCAGCTTCACTATAATAAGAGCATGGAAAAAATCCTAAACCGGGACAGAAATGTTGGTAAAATAATAATGCAGAGACTGAGTCAGGCAAAGTCAGTTAGAGACAGTGGACTTGATCAAGTAAGGCTGTTTGATTGTAGCCTTAAATAAGCTTCTGGTTCTGCTTGAGTACATAAAAGCAAACAAAGGCACACTCTTATGTGTTAGGTCAGCAGTGACACTGATAAACACGATGAGAAGAATGCCTTGATGAACTGTCTCTTCAGCTGTTTTGTTCTCAAGGCAGAGTTAAAACCTTACAAAACTCTTGCAGAGTAATGGAGACGTCCTTATCTGAAGCCATGCTTTCTTAAGTGATCGTTTACTTTTTGAGCTGTCAGTATGAATTATGTGCCAAAGTAAACCTAAAGAGTCCTTACTCATTTGTGATTTGGAAAGAGACAGTGAATAGACATAGTAACCCATCTTTGGTAATGTGTGGGCAGTGAGAGAGGAAAAAGTCAAGGATGAATCCAAGGCTCTGAGCCTGGGAAAGGTGATGCAGCTTTATTTCAATGAACCAAACAAATTTATTAAATGTCTACTGTATACAAGGAGCTGTGTGAGGTGCTGAGACGCAAAGATAAAAAATGAGGCAGTCCCCACCTTTAATGAACTTACAGGCTGTTGGTGAGGTGGTATAGTATTGGAAAGGGAGAGACATTATCCCTCTAGCCATATATCCTCAAAGTAATGCTAAAATAGGCCCACTTTTTCTTGTCTGTGCAATAGCCAATAGTGGGAGCAGGCAAGACAAAAGTTCCCTGATTAACAGGGAAGTAGCTCAGATTTCAGATGTTGCTGCCAAAACATAATCCACAATAATTTAATGTTTAAAAGGAAGGTCATTCAAATAGATAAGCAAGGGAAGCACGAAGTGGGCAAAATATCTAATTGCAAAATGAACCATTTGTCAGTTATTTGCTTACTTGACTTGTTAAAGATGTGCTGGTTAAGGGCTTCTACCCATATGTAGGAAGGCTGGTAAAATAAGAAAGAGTGTGTTGCTTTCCCCCTTGTATTGTTTCCATGGGTTAAGTAAAATGTTTTCTTGTTTTATTTTTCTTAGATATATACAAAAGTTACCAGAGTTCTCTCTTTCAAAAGGTCCACAGTGAAAACCTATTCATTTATTTTTTGTGTTGTACTTTTTACATCCCACACAAAGGTTTCCATGAAACTTTTATCAGCATTTTAACAAAAATAGGCAACCATTCTCTCAACTAGTTTTGATAGTCATTCAATGAAGAGAAAATCCATTTATATCATATGTTCAGATTATTTTTATGTCTTTTCAACCTATGATTGACTGTTCTTGAGACAAATGCAAATTTTCAATTAAATATGAAGGCAGAAGGCACTTGGCCTTTCTTATTAGAAAAAGCAGGACTAATTTCACTTTTTTAAAAAAATTATAATTTATTACTTTAGGTCAAGTCAATCGATAAACATTTCTTAAGCACCTACTATGTGCCAGGCATTGTGCTAAGCACTAAAGAGAAAAAGAGAGGCAAAAGATGGTGCCTGTCCTCAATGATCTCACAAGCTAATGTGTCAGGCAGCTAGTGGCACAATGAATAGAGCATGGGCCTCGAGTCAGGAAGACTCAAGTTCAAATCTGATCTCAAATACTCCTGGCTGTATGACCCTGGGCAAATTATTTGACGTCTCTTTGCCTCAGTTTTCTCAACTATAAGATGAGGATAATAATAGCAGCTACCTGAAAGGACTGCTGTAAGGGTCAAATGAGATATTTGTAAAACAGCAACACCACCTAGTAGAGTGCCGGTCATATAGAAGGTGCTATCTAAACCCTTATTCTCTTCTTTACACTTTCCTTTCTCCTTTAGCTAAGTCGTTAATCTCTCTGTACCTTGATTAGTTATCAAGGACTAAGTCCATGGAGTCTCTGGAGAAGAGTTAAAAGATCTTGAATGTTTAATTAACAATAACTGCCTATTGCTCTACCACTTTATTCACAGAATATCCCTCTTGGCTTTATAGGTGCTGGGAGTTTAGTGCTGGGGACTTCAAGTGGATTTATCAAGCACCTATATTAGCAGCAATTGGGGTAAGTTGAATGAATTTTAAATGTTAAATAAACTTAAAGCTTCAACTTGAAGCTAAATTCACTTTAAAAATAACAAATGGTAGAGAACAAATTGATACATGGTAAAATATCATTTTTATTTTTTTAACATGTGTTTTTAAAACTTTGGGTTACAAATTTTCTCCATTCCTCCCTCCCCACCCACTCTCATTGAAAAGGCAAGCAACTTGATACAGGTTATACATGTGTAGTCATGCGAAACACTTCCATAGTAGTCATGTTGTGAGAAATTAAGTATATTTCCCTTTATCCAACCTATCCCCCATTTATTCTATTCTCTCTTTTGACCCTGTCCCTCCTCAGAAGTGTTTGCTTCTGATTATCCCTTCCCCCAATCTGCCTTCCCCTCTATCAACTCCCTGCTCTCTTGTCCACTTCCCCCCATATTTTCCTGTAGGGTAAGATAGATTACCATACCCCAATTGTGTATGTTATTCCCTCCTTAAGCCAAATCCTATGAGAATAAGATTCATTCATTCCCTCTCACTTCCCCCATTTCCCCTACACTGTAAAAGCCTTTTCTTGTCTGTTTGATGTGAGATAATTTACCCCATTCTACTTCTCCCTTTCTCCTGCTCCCAGTATAATCCTCTCTCACCCCTTAATTTTATTTTCCAGATATCACTCCTTCATCTTCAACTTACCCTGTGTCTGCCTATCTATCTCTCTATCTCTCTATCTCTCTATCCATATACATATATATTATATATATATATATATATATGTATGTACATACATATAATTTCCCCTCCCACTCCCCTAATACTGACAAAGGACTCATGAGTTACAAATATCATCTTTCCACACAGGAATGTAAACAGTTCAACCTTAATAACTCTCTTATAATTTCTCTTTCCTGTTTACCTCTTCATGTTCCACTGGAGTCCTGTATTTGAAAGTCAACTTTTCTATTCAGCTCTGGTCTTTTCATCAAGAATGCTTATAAGTCCCTTATTTCACTGAATGATCATTTTTTACCCTGAAGGATTATACTCAGTTTTGCTGGGTAGGTGATTCTTGGTTGTAATCCTATCTCCTTTGCCCTCCAGAATATTATATTCCATGCCCTGGTCCTTAATGTAGAAGCTGCTAAATCTTGTGTTATCCTGATTGTGTTTCCACAATACTTGAATTGTTTCTTTCTGGCAGCTTGTAATATTTTCTTCTTGACCTGGGAACAAACTCTGGAATTTGGCTACAATATTCCTAGGAGTTTTCCTTTGGGGATCTCTTTCAGGAGGAGATCAGTGGACTCTTTCAATTTCTATTTTGCCCTCTGGTTCTACTATATCAGGGCAGTTTTCCTTGATAATTTCTTGAAAGATGATGTCTAGGCTCTTTTTTTGATCATGGCTTTCAGATAGTCCAGTAATTTTTAAACTCTCTCTCCTGGGTCTATTTTCCAGGTCAGTTGTTTTTCCAATGAGATATTTCACATTCTCCTCCTCTATTTTTTCATTCTTTTGGGTTTGTTTTACAGTGCCTTGATTTCTCGTAAAGTCACTAGCTTCCAATTGCTCCATTCTAATTTTTAAGGAAGTATTTTCTTCAGTAAGCTTTTGGACTTCTTTTTCCATTTGGCCAATTTTTCTTTTTAAGGCATTCTTCTCCTCATTGGCTTTTTGGACCTCTTTTGCCATTTGGGTTAGGCTATTTTTTAAGACGTTATTTTCTTCAGTATTTTTGGGGTCTCCTTTAGCATCATTCTCAGTTCTTCCTCTGCTTCTCTTACTTGCTTCTCAAAATCCTTTTTGAGCTCTTCCATGGCCTGGGACCAATTCATATTTTTCTTGGAAGCTTTGGACGTAGGAGCTTTGACTGTGTTGTCTTCTTCTGGTTGCATGTTTTCATCTTCTTTTTCACCAAAGTAAGATAATATAGTCTGACTCTTTTTGTGCTGCTTGCTCATGATCCCAGCCAATTACTTGGGGTTTTAAACTCTTTGTTAAGGTAGGGATCTGTTTCCAGTGTGGAGAATGTACTGCAAGCTTCAGGGATTTTGTGCGGCTGTTTTCAGAGATACTTCTAGGGACCTGAAAATTTTCAGTTCTTCCAAGGTGCCTATGATCAAGGGCCAGGTGTTTACTCCTTTCCTGGCCTCTGCTGTGGTCTATGAGTGACCACAAGCACTCTTTTCTGTCTTGGAACCATGAGGAGGATTTGCTCTTCATTACCGTTGCAGATCCTCCTTGCCCCAGGACTGCCACCCAGAACTGTGACCCAGATCCAAGCACAGGCAAAGCAAGGGAATCCTGCACCAGCAGAGACATCCCTGCCTGCTGGGATCCCTGATCAGCCACCCAATTCCTCCTCAGTCTGTGGGCCAGAAGCTCTGGAGGTAGCTGCCATCCCGGGGCCAAGCTTGGGGTCTGGAGCTCAGACCACCACACTTCTGTCTCTCACCAAAGACACAGACTTTTCCCACTGACCTTCTAAGTTGTCTTGGGTATTCGTGGGTTGAGAGTTCTGGAAACTGCCACAGCTGCCCACGAGTCAGTCCTCTGAGTCCTGCTCCAGGTTCCCTGCAGCCTGCGCGCCCACACCCAACTGCAATCCTCTACCAGCCTGGCATGATATACCTTTCTGATCAACCATTCAGGTTGTTTTGGGCTGGAAATTTGTTCCACTTTGTCTTTTTGTGGGTTCTGCTGCTTTAGAATTTGTTTAGAGTCATTTTTATAGATATTTAGAGGGGTTTTGGGGAGACCTCAAGCAAGTCACTGCTTTTACTCCCCCTTCTTGGCTCTGCCCTCCTCAATTTTTTTTTACATGGTGAAATATCAAGAAACATGATGTGTCTATCACTTTATTCTAGAGCAGGTTAACTAGTATTAAAATAGCTAGATGAGTCCAATTCAAGGACTATTTTCTATAATACCTAGAGAAAAGGATCCTGAGTATCCTGAAACATCAAATAAAAATTGGAACAACTTCCCATCTATTCTTTTTGCTGGTCCCTGTGGCTAGTCCTCAGGCTTAATAAGAGATTGGGAATGGAAGCAATTTAACAGGGAACCATGTCTGTCTTACAGTTAAATCCTGTATAGTGTTAAATACTTATTTAATGGTAAGACTAGTAGGTCTTGAAACTGCCCCTTCCTCATTCCTTGCATTTTATTTCTCCCACTAGATTTAGCCTACTAATCACTACTATCCATGACACTAGAAGACATCATGGATAAGTTACCAATTCCCCTTCAATGATAGTAGGAGGATGAGTAGTTAAGCAGACTAACGTTTATTAAGTACTTACTATGTGCCAAGCTATGTGCTAAGTACTGGGAATACCAAAAAAAAAAAAAAAAGGAAAGAAAGAGAGACACAGTATCATTGATATAGAAATTGGGACAACTTTAGATCTCAAATAATCCAACTTTCTCATTTTGCAAATAAGGAAACTGAGACCCAGAGAGGTTGAATCACTTGTCCAATGTCTCAGAAATAGTAAATAGTAGAACCGAGATTCTACCAATTCTTTCTTGATACAAATCTATCCCTCATTCTGTAGGGTGCTTGAGGGAAAGAGTTTGGTTTTTGTGTTTTTGTAAACCACCCCCCCCAGCACTTAGCCCAATTCTAACAAATACTAAATGAAGCTACTTATTTATTAATCTGAATTTAATTTTATAGTATCCTCATCACACACTTGGCCTTTCTTTTTAAAAGTCTAATTTGATTTTCTTCAAGGGTTAGGGTCATACAATTTTATTTATGTGCAGAAAAGCTCACAGGGTCAAGGATAAAGAGGAAGAAAAGAAGAAGATACATTTATTAAAGACGAAGGTCTATAGGGTCTATTGGATGAGGAAGATAAAAATGCACAGGATGACCTCAGATCAGAAATAAAACCCCAGGAGACAAAGAGTAAATCCAGAGTTCTGAAGCTTTTTAGTTTGAAATGTAGACAAGCACAAAATGCACCACATTTGTAATAAAACCCGCTTGCATGTTTGCTGAGGCATACTGAATGTTATCAGACTAAACCAGATTTCTGAAGAGAAGCTCAGAGGATGGACTTGGGCCAGGAGGATGGATCACTTAAAGGTATGAACTTTAATATGTTTTACTTTTTGTATTTTAATGAAATGATACATTACTACAGTGATAAACCAGGCCTGGCCTTCACTCTACCTCCCTGAAACAACATTACTGTTTCTAACAGAGATAAAGCTAAACTTTTTATAAAAACATTGAATTTCTTAAATAGATTTTTGTATTCTATCTTCTGATATATCCCTTACCTATCAATTTCTGTATGTTTCCCCCATATACTTTTGTATCCTTTCATTTTTTTCATTATTTCTCTGATTCCCTCCCTTGTTATGATTTCTCTTTTTAAACATTGTTTTAAGATGTTTCCTTTCATTTGTTCCCAGTTCAGAGTTAAGTATAGACTCAACATAAGATGTAAAGCAAAACTGATGCAAAGTAAAATTGGGACAGAAGTAGAACAATTAAAAGAAAGAAAATTAAAAGAAATTATCTTTGAGAAAAAGTTAATCTCAAAAAAAAGCTTTAATTTTTGCTTACATACATAAAAATCTGCTAAGTTTTAAAAATAACTATACGGAAAAATAATACTAATACAATTAAGAGGCATCTAGAGTATTATCCACTATCCAATTAAGGAGGGTAAACAATGATAATTCCTGAAATTTTCTTTGGAATGATGTCATGGTATCTAAGAGATCAATAAAGGAGAATAAAGGATGTACATAGAGGTGAGAGGACAGTACAGAGAAAGATATCTTCAAGATTATTTCACCTTTTAAATCATGTTTGGAGAAATAAGAATCCCTCAGAAGAAAAAAATAATTAGGTCTGTTGATGACTGTAAACCTCACTTAGGACATTTGATAGCATGTCCCCAAAATCTTAGTATACCTTAAGACTTTTAGAAGAGCCTATTTATCTCTACTCACACTTCAAATAGAAATCCATCCCAAAAGATGCACCCATTT